ACTGTACTACAGGAACACCCTAACATACAGACAATAACGTGTTTCAACTGTACTACAGGAACACCCTAACATACAGACTATAACGTGTTTCAACTGTACAGTAAGAACACCCTAACATACCGAATATAACGTGTTTCAACTGTACAGTAAGAACACCCAAACATACCGAATATAACGTGTTTCAACTGTACAGTAAGAACACCCAAACATACCGAATATAACGTGTTTCAACTGTACAGTAAGAACACCCAAACATACCGAATATAACGTGTTTCAACTGTACAGTAAGAACACCCAAACATACCGAATATAACGTGTTTCAACTGTACAGTAAGAACACCCAAACATACCGAATATAACGTGTTTCAACTGTACAGTAAGAACACCCGAATATAACATACAGTAAGAATATAACGTGTTTCAACTGTACAGTAAGAACACCCAAACATACCGAATATAACGTGTTTCAACTGTACAGTAAGAACACCCAAACATACCGAATATAACGTGTTTCAACTGTACAGTAAGAACACCCAAACATACCGAATATAACGTGTTTCAACTGAACACCCAAACATACCGAATAAGAACACCCAAACATACCGAATATAACGTGTTTCAACTGTACAGTAAGAACACCCAAACATACCGAATATAACGTGTTTCAACTGTACAGTATGAACACTTAAACATACAGAATATAACGTGTTTCAACTGTACAGTAAGAACACTCAAACATACCGAATATAACGTGTTTCAACTGTACAGTAAGAACACCCAAACATACCGAATATAACGTGTTTCAACTGTACAGTAAGAACACTCAAACATACCAAATATAACGTGTTTCAACATGAATATAACGTGTTTCAACTGTACAGTAAGAACACCCAAACATACGAATATAACGTGAACACCCAAACATACCGAATATAACGTGTTTCAACTGTACAGTAAGAACACCCAAACATACCGAATATAACGTGTTTCAACTGTACAGTAAGAACACCCAAACATACCGAATATAACGTGTTTCAACTGTACAGTAAGAACACCCAAACATACCGAATATAACGTGTTTCAACTGTACAGTAAGAACACCCAAACATACCGAATATAACGTGTTTCAACTGTACAGTAAGAACACCCAAACATACCGAATATAACGTGTTTCAACAGTACTACAGGAACACCCAAGCGTACAGGATATAACGTGTTTCAACTGTACAGTAAGAACACCCAAACATACCGAATATAACGTGTTTCAACTGTACAGTAAGAACACCCAAACATACCGAATATAACGTGTTTCAACTGTACTACAGGAACACCCAAACATACCGAATATAACGTGTTTCAACTGTACAGTAAGAACACCCAAACATACCGAATATAACGTGTTTCAACTGTACAGTAAGAACACCCAAACATACCGAATATAACGTGTTTCAACTGTACAGTAAGAACATCCATACATACCGAATATAACGTGTTTCAACTGTACAGTAAGAACATCCATACATACCGAATATAACGTGTTTCAACTGTACAGTAAGAACACCCAAACATACCGAATATAACGTGTTTCAACTGTACAGTAAGAACACCCAAACATACCGAATATAACGTGTTTCAACTGTTTCAACTGTACAGTAAGAACACCCAAACATACCGAATATAACGTGTTTCAACTGTACAGTAAGAACACCCAAACATACCGAATATAACGTGTTTCAACTGTACAGTAAGAACACCCAAACATACCGAATATAACGTGTTTCAACTGTACAGTAAGAACACCCAAACATACCGAATATAACGTGTTTCAACTGTACAGTAAGAACACCCAAACATACCGAATATAACGTGTTTCAACTGTACAGTAAGAACACCCAAACATACCGAATATAACGTGTTTCAACTGTACAGTAAGAACACCCAAACATACAGACAATGACGTGTTTCAACTGTACAGTAAGAACACCCAAGCATACAGAATATAACGTGTTTCAACTGTACAGTAAGAACACCCAAACATACCGAATATAACGTGTTTCAACTGTACAGTAAGAACACCAAAACATACCGAATATAACGTGTTTCAACTGTACAGTAAGAACACCAAAACATACCGAATATAACGTGTTTCAACTGTACAGTAAGAACACCCAAACATACCGAATATAACGTGTTTCAACTGTACAGTAAGAACACCCAAACATACCGAATATAACGTGTTTCAACTGTACAGTAAGAACACCCAAACATACCGAATATAACGTGTTTCAACTGTACAGTACGAACACCCAAACATACCGAATATAACGTGTTTCAACTGTACAGTAAGAACACCCAAACATACCGAATATAACGTGTTTCAACTGTACAGTAAGAACACCCAAACATACCAAATATAACGTGTTTCAACTGTACAGTAAGAACACCCAAACATACCGAATATAACGTGTTTCAACTGTACAGTAAGAACACCCAAACATACCGAATATAACGTGTTTCAACTGTACAGTAAGAACACCCAAACATACCGAATATAACGTGTTTCAACTGTACAGTAAGAACACCCAAACATACCGAATATAACGTGTTTCAACTGTACAGTAAGAACACCCAAACATACCGAATATAACGTGTTTCAACTGTACAGTAAGAACACCCAAACATACCGAATATAACGTGTTTCAACTGTACAGTAAGAACACCCAAACATACCGAATATAACGTGTTTCAACTGTACAGTAAGAACACCCAAACATACCGAATATAACGTGTTTCAACTGTACAGTAAGAACACCCAAACATACCGAATATAACGTGTTTCAACTGTACAGTAAGAACACCCAAACATACCGAATATAACGTGTTTCAACTGTACAGTAAGAACACCCAAACATACCGAATATAACGTGTTTCAACTGTACAGTAAGAACACCCAAACATACCGAATATAACGTGTTTCAACTGTACAGTAAGAACACCCTAACATACCGAATATAACGTGTTTCAACTGTACAGTAAGAACACCCAAACATACCGAATATAACGTGTTTCAACTGTACAGTAAGAACACTCAAACATACCGAATATAACGTGTTTCAACTGTACAGTAAGAACACCCAAACATACCGAATATAACGTGTTTCAACTGTACAGTAAGAACACCCAAACATACCGAATATAACGTGTTTCAACTGTACAGTAAGAACACCCAAACATACCGAATATAACGTGTTTCAACTGTACAGTAAGAACACCCAAACATACCGAATATAACGTGTTTCAACTGTACAGTAAGAACACCCAAACATACAGAATATAACGTGTTTCAATATAACGTGTTTCAACTGTACAGTAAGAACACCCAAACATACCGAATATAACGTGTTTCAACTGTACAGTATGAACACACAAACATACCGAATATAACGTGTTTCAACTGTACAGTAAGAACACCCAAACATACCGAATATAACGTGTTTCAACTGTACAGTAAGAACACCCAAACATACCGAATATAACGTGTTTCAACTGTACAGTAAAAACACCCAAACATACCGAATATAACGTGTTTCAACTGTACGAATATAACGTGTTTCAAGAAAGAAAATCCGAATAAACATACTCGCTGTGATACAAACACTAGATACAAGTGATCAGATAATCCTTGCTGTGATACAGACATTCGATACAATTTATCAGATAAATCCTCGCTGTGATACAGAGACACTCGATACAATTTATCATATATATCCTCGCTGTAATACAGAGACACTCGATACAATTTATCAGATAAATCGTCGCTGGGATACAGAGACACTCGATACAATTTATCAGATAAATCGTCGCTGTGATACAGAGACACTCGATACAATTTACCAGATAAATCCTCGTTGTGATACAGAGACACTCGATACAATTTATCAGATAAATCGTCGCTGTGATACAGAGACACTCGATACAAGTGATCAGATAAATCCTCGCTGTGATACAAACACTCGATACAATTTATCAGATAAATCCTCGCTGTGATACAGAGACACTCGATACAATTTATCAGATAAATCGTCGCTGTGATATAGAGACACTCGATACAATTGATCAGATAATCCTTGCTGTGATACAGAGACACTCGATACAATTTATCATATCAATCCTCGCTGTGATACAGACATTCGATACAGTTTACCAGATAAATCCTCGCTGTGATACAGAGACACTCGATACAATTTATCAGATGAATCCTCGCTGTGATACATTCGATACAATTTATCAGATAAATCCTCGCTGTGATACAGAGACACTCGATACAATTTATCAGATAAATCCTCGCTGTGATACAGACATTCGATACAATTTATCAGATAAATCCTCGCTGTGATACAGAGACACTCGATACAATTTACCAGATAAATCCTCGCTGTGATACAGAGACACTCTATACAATTTATCAGATAAATTCTCGCTGTGATACAGAGAAACAAACACTCGATACATTTTTTCAGATAAATCCTCGCTGTGATACAGACATTCGATACAATATAACGCTGATACAATGTCCAATGTAGAAAATGATTCATGAAGAAGACAGACAGAAAGATGAAAACTCTATTGATAATATTTCTGTACCTATCAACCCTTAACAATGTTAGGGACATTTCCATACCTACACACGTAAAACATTTTCGTGGTTTTTAAGAAAAAAAATCATGTATAGGTTCATTTAAAGAGGCTAAATGAAAACAAGAGATCATTTTATGTGATAATGACAACGCACCTCATTAAAGCAGGATTATTCGAACCCATCAAATACGTAAAGTAATGAACGTAAAGTGTTTTCATTTAACCTCTCATCCCAATGTTCTTCATCCTAAACCACTCATTCAGCACCTCTCATTCCTCGTTATAAGAGTATGTTATGTTACAATTACATACTAAACAGTATTTACGACTGTAATGACGACACACGGATCCTATAAACACGCTGAACTCATTGCACCATAACTACTGTAAATGTTTATCACAGCATTGTATCCCCGGCCAGAACACCTCGATAATGGTATTTTTTACTCGAGCCTTTCAAACTCGACGTCTTGTCTGGAGTAAGAGTTGATTGGAGAGATCTTGGAATATGTTTGGTTTGTATAATTGTCCGTTCATCGTCAGAACTTGAAGTACTACTGTTATATGGTGGTCGTACATCCGGGTCATCCTCGTACCACACCGTGTCGTCAGGGACCTCCACATCTACCTGACTGTCACAACCTTCCGATAGGGCGTCAAGCCCTGATGATGTCACTGTTTCCGGTGGCCCACACTCTTCGAGACTATCGAGCCAGTTCTGACACTTTCGCGTCGTCTCTTGCATATATACACTATCATCATACATCTGTTTCCGGAGACCGATTTCCTTTGGCGTTGTTTCCGCGAGATTCATTGTCATCTCTACGTCGTCCGGAAGATCCTCGGACTCTATACAGTACTGACTACGAGTCCGATGTATCTTAGCACGCATACGTTTCCCCGGTTTTGACGACCTAGGAAGAACGTTGATCTGTTGTTGCTGTGACACAGGGGAACTTTTTGACCCTCCTTCATCCGAAGACGCCCGCTGGTTCTGTACTTTTAGGTCAAGCCAGCACGGTGGTTTGGGGGGTTTAGCAGTGAGGAACGCGTGTACAGGTGTACAGTTGCCCGGTCGTACAGAGCTTCTGTACATTCTACGATCCTAGTATGTAATATAAAAACACAAATCGGATATATCCACGCGAGGATTTACAACCTTCCCATCTGTAAGCCATACTTTACACTTGGCGCCTAGCTGTAGTTTTTCGTTGGGTTTGTGATAATGGAATTTTCGGTGATATTGGAAGAGAATGATATCATTTCCATTGTACTTTGTAACTTTACAATCCCCTCCCTTGCACCGTGAACAATCTGTTATATATACACACTGTTACACGTCCAAAGTCATGTGTAGACCAAAGCGGTGATGAGGAAAGCAGATATGTTATTTCATATCTATAAATACGATGGAAACAACAGGAACGCGAGGCTACAGTGTGCGAACACAACACACACCCTCCGCTTGTATAATCCGTGGCAGCGATGATCCCTCCTCTATTCACCAAACCATCTTTCTAAATATAACTTCTCTTCACTGACGCAGCACACGAGCAAGCATCACGCCATGTATATCGCAGATATTCACTCGCCTTATTTCATTATTATAATTTGAGTTTATCATACTACACAAATTAATGGCGGCTTACATTGCTATTCCACTCCACATTCAGCAGACACATCACGGAAAACTTTCTCTGTAACTTTGGCATTCCAAGATAATCCCTCAGCTGAAAGTACAACAAAATGGCGATATTATCTATGTTGAAAGTTTGAAAACTTAAATTCATTTCTCTAATTTCTGAATAGCACATACAGATCACATACATCACATGTTAACACCATCATACCGTGGCTCTGTTTTAGGGTAGCGTGTCTATAGTACCCATTTTTCCGTAGACGGTTTATAGATGATCTGGCCCAAACCTCTGTCAGTTTTTTCTACGCCGGAAGAGAACAGAAATACACAAATGTAGTGTGCACAACAACCATTCTCATACTCCAACAGCAGAGGAAACAAAGCTCCAGGATTGCCTGGCAGGATGTACACCACACTAAGGTAGTAATTGGTAGCAGACGACCAGTGAAAATTCTCTTCGAATACAAGATCATCTATTGTCAGGTCAACGAACTGAGCCAGAATCGTATCACACGGACTGTTTGTGAATTAAAGTATAATTAAAGCCGTCGTTGTATTTTCTAAAAGTTGTGTAAGATCTACTGCACCAAGCCTTTTAACTCGATAAATCCCGAGATTTAGGTCAGTACGATCTGAACACACCAACGCTAGGCCTGGCTACAGTCACAACTAATTAAACTACAGTAAACTGTAGATATAGCGGCTCATCTTGTATTGTCTGAACACAGACACTCGGTACGGGGCGATCCGCGGGAGATCCAGTGGGAAAACTTAAAACTCCAAACAAGTTATGTAGTAATGTAGACGTTATCCCTGCTTGATCTGCCGTGGTAAGATGTGAAGCTTCAGACACGATGGTACCGTGAGACGGGGGTAGCATAGAGAGTGCTGTTTCAAACCCAATGTGCCAATTCCCCAATAGCAAACAATGCAGACATATCGAGTTTCATAGTCTGAGGAGCAGCCGTACCATTGCCTCCCTAGGACGATTAGGTGAGATCTGTAATGTACTGTATCAAAAAGGAGCCACACACTTCATGTTGAAGAAGGCATGAGAAGCCGTTAATCCAGAACACCACTACCATAAAACCTTACTGCTAAATTCATAACACTGACTTCATTATCTCGTTATAACGGGGACGCAGTATCTCGTTATAACACTGACTTCATTATTTCGTTATAACACGGACGCAGTATCTCGTTATAACACTGACTTCATTATTTCGTTATAACGGGGACGCAGTATCTCGTTATAACACTGACTTCATTATTTCGTTATAACACGGACGCAGTATCTCGTTATAACACTGACTTCATTATTTCGTTATAACGGGGACGCAGTATCTCGTTATAACACTGACTTCATTATCTCGTTATAACACGGACGCAGTATCTCGTTATAACACTGACTTCATTATCTCGTTATAACACGGACGCAGTATCTCGTTATAACACTGACTTCATTATCTCGTTATAACACGGACGCAGTATCTCGTTATAACACTGACTTCATTATCTCGTTATAACACGGACGCAGTATCTCGTTATAACACTGACTTCATTATTTCGTTATAACGGGGACGCAGTATCTCGTTATAACACTGACTTCATTATCTCGTTATAACACGGACGCAGTATCTCGTTATAACACTGACTTCATTATTTCGTTATAACGGGGGCGCAGTATCTCGTTATAACACTGACTTCATTATCTCGTTATAACACGGACGCAGTATCTCGTTATAACACTGACTTCATTATCTCGTTATAACACGGACGCAGTATCTCGTTATAACACTGACTTCATTATTTCGTTATAACGGGGACGCAGTATCTCGTTATAACACTGACTTCATTATCTCGTTATAACACGGACGCAGTATCTCGTTATAACACTGACTTCATTATTTCGTTATAACGGGGGCGCAGTATCTCGTTATGACAGTGACTCAATATATCGTTTTAACGCTACTTCAGTATCCCGTTATAACAGTGACACAGTATCTCGCCATAAAACTACCTCAGTGTCTCGTTATAAAATGAACTCGGTATGTCGTTATAACATTATTGATATACTTGGTTATAACAGCGACTCAGGATCTCATTGTATCACTGACTCAGTATCTCGTTGTAACATTGACTCAGTAACTCGTAATAGCAATGACAAAGTATATCGTTAGAATACTCAGTAACTCGTAATAACAGTGACTCACTAACTCATGATATTATTGACTCAGTATCTCGAAATAACACTGACCCAGTAACTCGTAATAAGATTGACTCAGTATCTCGTTATAACATTGACTTAATATCTCGTAATAACAGTGACTCACAAACTCGTAATAACATTGACTCAATATCTCGAAATAACACTGACCCGGAAACTCGTTATAAGATTAACTCAGTATCTCGTTATAATATTGACTCAGTAACTCGTAATAACAGTGACTCACTAACTCGTTATAATATTGACTCAGTATCTCGAAATAACACTGACCCAGTAACTCGTACTAAGATTGACTCAGTATCTCGTTATAACATTGACTCAGTGTCTCGTAATAACAGTGACTTAGTATCTCGTAATAACATTGACTCAGTAACTCGTAATAACAGTGACTCAGTATCTCGTTAGAAGACTGACTCGGTATTTCGTTAGAACATTGACTCAGTATCTCGCAATAACAGTGACTCAGTATCTCGTTATAACCTTGTAAAGAACCTAACATATTAGTCGTTCATGGTTTTTCACTTTATGGAATATGGACCTTGACACATACTTTAACTTAACAATTAACATTTTGCTTAACAAAGAAAAAGCGTTATTGTAAGAAATGTTTGTTCTCCTGGCAGAGAAAATGTGATATTAGGAAAACACTCAATGAGTATTACAATGTAATATTCCAACAACATAACTATCCCTTGTCATCACACATAAAGATAAATATCGAAATAAGTTGTGGATTCTGATTGACAAAACAAAAGGATTCAGGAATATGCTGAAAATGTGAACGGACGTTTTGAATCATTGTAAAATAATGATGCCAAGAAAGACTTAGGTGATGAGAACAACCGAGCGATGACTAATACTTACGATGATGGAGATGTTCTCGCCTGTTAGTCATACTGTAATAGTTTGACGTAAGTCACTACCGACATTTCTAAAGGATGTAAGAGGCTGGTTGTATCATAATGTTAATTGTGTACATCTTCGATAATTTGGCAGAGGTAGGAAAAATACTTCAAAATAAAAAACAAGTCATCAACCAAACTAAGCCTTAAGCCTTAACTGTTCTTACATCTACCTTATTTTTTGTAGTTTGGCGTCCTTGCAACAGCCAAGGTCACGTGAGGAGGGTAAACAAAGTACTCTGTAGTGTTTAGACATAAAAAAGACAACTTCAGATGATCGTCGCTAATGTTGAAGCCGGTAATTACCACTTAATTTACCTTGTCTGCTAAGGAATATCAGCCGGGGAAATGTACAAGTAAAATAAAAAAAATAGAACTAGAATATTGCATGTATTCAGAGTGTTTCGAATTCTAAATTATGTTAGCTGATATGAATTAAGAAATTTTACCTCATGTCTCGCTCGTAAAGGTTTTTGTATACTTGAGAAGATTCTAAAGAGACGTTCAGGAAACTATAACTATTTTGATAATAACTTTCGAGTGTTTGAAATGGTCGTCCTTCATTGCTTTTAATTGATGACACCTTCCACCGATATCATCTCTCATTTATAATGAATTGGAATTTTAATTTACTGTGAAGGTTTTTTAGTGTATTTGACAAAAATATCAAATAGATTGCACCAAGTGGACTCCAACAACATACGGTCATTACTGCTAAGTGAAACACAAGCAGCCTTCAACCAACGTCTGCAGAATGAATTACGAAAACCTTGTAATAATAAGGTGGACAAGGGAAGTTCGAACGGTTCATGAACAGTTTTCTGAACAGTTAGGGAACAGGGGATAGTCTGAACAGTTAATGAGAAGTGGAACATTTAGGGTACAGGGGGTGGTCTGAACAGTTAATGAGAAGTGGAACATTTAGGGTACAGGGGGTGGTCTGAACAGTTAATGAGAAGTGGAACATTTAGGGTACAGGGGGTGGTCTGAACAGTTAATGAGAAGTGGAACATTTAGGGTACAGGGGGTGGTCTGAACAGTTAATGAGAAGTGGAACATTTAGGGTACAGGGGGTGGTCTGAACAGTTAATGAGAAGTGGAACATTTAGGGTACAGGGGGTGGTCTGAACAGTTAATGAGAAGTGGAACATTTAGGGTACAGGGGGTGGTCTGAACAGTTAATGAGAAGTGGAACATTTAGGGTACAGGGGGTGGTCTGAACAGTTAATGAGAAGTGGAACATTTAGGGTACAGGGGGTGGTCTGAACAGTTAATGAGAAGTGGAACATTTAGGGTACAGGGGGTGGTCTGAACAGTTAATGAGAAGTGGAACATTTAGGGTACAGGGGGTGGTCTGAACAGTTAATGAGAAGTGGAACATTTAGGGTACAGGGGGTGGTCTGAACAGTTAATGAGAAGTGGAACATTTAGGGTACAGGGGGTGGTCTGAACAGTTAATGAGAACTGATCAACTGGACAGTTGATGATCAGTTGATATCCAGGTCAGTTAGTAAACAGGGGTAATCTGAACATTTAGTTAAGTTTTCTAAACAGTTAGGTAACAGGGATTGTCTGAACAGTTAGTGAGAAGTACTTGACCAATCAGTGCTTAGTGGAAAGTCTAAACTGTTGAACTATTTTCCAGGTTAATATCAATAAATATCACGCCTCCTGTCTATCTGATCATGTTCATCCAGTACCCGCTTAATATCACAGAGTTTATTACTTGCAGAGCATTATATATTTAGAACAGTTTGTTTTTTAGGGTTTTTTTTTTACTTTAGGATTTGTGTTTAACATATTATTGCTCACATGAAATATATGTGTCGCTTTTTGATGGGTCAATTTTCATTATTCACTAGAAATCCTACGCTTCACATCACAGCAAAAGTCAAATCAAGAACTAATGTAAAGAAATACAAACTTCTGTTAATATCACTGACCAAAGCTGGTAGAACTAATATGTAGGATGATTAATGACATGGTTAGGAGAGTCATCGGAGTACTTCAGTGGTAATGACTTTCAATTAAAATACAGGCTGTCATATATATCATATATACAAAATAATAAAGATCTGACAGAAGAAATGGGATACTTTAATTATCTATAACCAAATATGGCTGTTATCTGATTATTAGAAACCTGACAAGAAAAGTACGCCTGTATATTGACAATTGTACACGAAAATGGCTTACAAATATAAGAATGTTCATACACTGATATATATAATTCATTATATACCTCCGTGTGTAGGCAGCAATATGTTATCAAATCATATGTCTATTGATAAAGTCAATCCGCAAATTAAGTCGTAAAATTGACCTAGGTAAGGGTCCTACCGGCAGGATGTTGATAGAAAACTACAACACTATATACATACAGAACTCATTCACGCCAATCTGGACTTGTCAAGTGGTAGAAACTGATAAATGATCATACTCTAGGAGATATGTGTATACTGAAGTATTTACATATCTTAATATCTAAAATAAAGTCATTACATAGAGTTTCTCTGTTATATCGTTATATCAATTTATGTATCGATAAACACAAAATCGGTGAACATAGGATGTATTTGAGGAAAACACAACTGGAAGGTACAAAGCATCTGAAATAATGTTAAAAAATAACGATAAAAAAATTTAAGAATCAATCTCACGTGCGATGGAGTGGGGGTATAACATAAAAGAAATAAAGATTTACACGAAGACTCATGATAAAGGACATTTAGGTAACGTTTAAGTACTGGTATATACATTTTATCAAAAGTTCATGGTGTTATGTAAATGTGATCCCGATTGTTCCGTCTGGTAAACAATAAATAGGGGACAAAATCAAATCTAAAGCTTGCAATATCCACATTAAAAAACAAGTTCAAACCTTTTTAAGAATTTGAAAGCATGATTTTCCAGAAATATCTCGAAAAACTTATTTTTAATATATCTTGTAAACAGCTCCTAAAGCTATTCAGTTTAAAATCTGGTCTCGGAAGATATCTCTCTAGACAGGTACACACTACTATAAGGTCATAATAATTTAATTAAATCTACAGATCTATTGTGTTGAATAGACCATTGACAGAAACTTGATTAAGTTGTATCAAAACAGTATCAAACACGTACTATATGTATCCACTAACCACAGGAATACTCCATGTATATATATGTAAGTGTTTATGTTACATAAACATGACTATACTAGTATGTATGCATACATAGATATATTATACGTTGGCGTCTTTGTGTTTGATATCCTTAATATCAGCTAGTTTGTCTTAGATGTGCAAGCAAATAGCATATGAAATGTTTAAACATTAAAAAGTGTGCTAGTTTATAAATTAAATGTAAATTCAAATTATCACACTTACAAATACACCGAAATGTTACCAGATATTAACTCTGAGTTAATTTATCTGAAAAAAAACATTGCAAAAATAGGTAGACGTATGTAAATAAATATAAATAGTGAAAAAACAAACATTGGCTCCTACACTGTCAATATATGGACTATAATACAGTATGTTACACGGGAGACCTCAGTACACAATACTCACCAATAGGACACCCCACGTACTCCTGACTGTGTAGAAAGTGTTTTAGAATTCTTTAACAAAACATATGTCTTACCTTTGACACAAAACAGAGTGTACGTAAATACCTATGTATTGTTAGGGGGTATCGTCACCGGACACGTCCATACACGTCTCTCCATTAACTTGGGTATGAAGGTGATGTGCTTCGTGCATTTGTGTCTCGGAACTTTAAATCTAGTTCAATTTTCGCCCAATTGAGTTACAAGCTTTAAATGACAATCATGGAACTATAAAGTATTGTATCACACAAAGACTACATCGAGTTTACACTTGAATGGAAACCGTCAACACTCTGTCAACTGCTGAATATGTTCGACTGTCTCAACCGAACCCGTTATCTACAACACTGCGTAAATCGTACAATATACTCACACTTTGTTCTAAATCGTCGATAAATTATCGCCATGACAGACATCAATCTAAAAACTGGGGCGGAATATCAACACATTTGTCCAAATCTGTATGTATGCTATGGTAACACTGATATCCATTATGACTTGGTCTGTTTCAGTTGTGTACCAAAACAGGCCCAAGTCTGGTGATAAAAGGACACAATGATGTCTGATGTAGGATTCCTTGTTCGCTGAAACAAAATAACATTTGCATTTTTATTGAGATTGCACATTCAATTTATTCAATATCACAGTTTTGTTTTTATAATGTTATTCTTGTTGTTTATTCATGAATAAACAAGGACATTTTGATGAATAGACCGCGCTGTGCTGTTTTTGTAATTACATGGGTTCTCGTTTTGAAAATGTTATGTTTTATTTGGAAGTGGCGTGTTTTATGTGAAGGGTGTCGTTGATGAAGCAGAAAACGTCCTTTTTAAGTTAGTTCATATAAATCTTTCTTCTTTTATGGTTTTTGCCCTACTTCATTGACTTTGAGTTTGAACGATGACTTTGTTTACAACCAAGAGCAAGAGCTAATACTTCCTGTCTGGCGGAGGATGGGGGAGGGGGATGGGGGGATGGGGCGGAGCATGATGCGGAGGAGGGGGGAGGGGGATGGGGCGAGGGGGCGGTGGGGCGGAGGATGGGGCGGGGATGGGGCGGAGGATGGGGATGGGGCGTAGGATGGGGGACGGGGCGGAGGATGGGGCGTAGGATGGGGGAGGGGGATGGGTCGGAGGATGGGGCGGGGATGGGGCGGAGGATGGGGAGGGGGATGGGGAGGGGGATGGGGGGTGGGGCGGAGGATGGGAGGTAGTTGGGGCGGGAAGGGGGGCGGAGGATGGGAGGGAGTTGGGGTGGGGATGGGGCGGAGGATGGGTAAATGGGGCGGAGGATGGGGGGAGTTGGGATGGGGATGGGGATGGGGCGGAGGATGGGGGCGGAGGATGGGAGGGAGTTGGGGTGGGGATGGGGCGGAGGATGGAGGGGGGAGTTGGGGGCGGGGCGGAGGATGGGTGGATGAGGCGGAGGGGGGGGAGTTGGGGGCGGGGATGGGGCGGAGGATGGGGGGGAGAGCTGGGGGGGAGATGGGGCGGAGGATGGGGGGATGGGGCAGAGGATGGATAGATGGGGCGGGGATGGGGCGGAGGATGGGGGCGGAGGATGGGGGCGGAGGATGGGTGAGAGGGATGGGGGATGGGGCGGAGGATGGGAGGATGGGGCGGAGGATGGGGGCGGAGGATGGAGGAGGGTGATGGGGGGATGGGCGGAGGATTGGGGGGAGTTGGGGGCGGAGGATGGGGCGGAGGGTGGGGGAGAGGGATGTGAAAGGGTTGGGGGTATTGTCGCTTGTTTGTTTGTCTTTTTCTACTATTTTTAAAGGATGGGTTAGCGTTTGCGGAAGAAGAACGAAACCATATAGGTAGGTTCTTCATCAATCTATACGTTTAATTATCACAGTCACACATAGAGTTTGTTCTCTCAAACAAAAACTGCGATATACGCTGTCGTGTTAATGATAATGTCACGGACCAACAACTCGAGGGGGAATATGCACGGACACGTTATTACTGTTATGTTACAATAATATTTTTGTATGTACTTTCGGTATTTATTTCAACAAAGCGTATATAAAAGCAATATTTTCTCAAATCAATAAACAATTTAATGCACATCCTACTTTTTAGAAAGAAACCACGCGATATTTTGATATGATAATGCCTCGAGGTACATCGGTTAGAATGGTGTTCTAGGGGGGACAACTCTTAACTGAGCTTCATTCCAAGAGTTTACAGTTCAGTTTGTTGTTCAGTCTGGTCAGCTAAAGTAAGTAATGTCACCTTCTCTCAGGACTGAACACACATTTGTTTGGTATCTTTCGACACATTTGTTCGGTATCTTTCGACACATTTGTTTGGTATCTTTCGACACATTTGTTTGGTATCTTTCGACACATTTGTTTGGTATCTTTCGACACTTTTGTTCGGTATCTTTCGACACATTTGTTTGGTATCTTTCGACACATTTGTTTGGTGTCTTTCGACACATTTGTTTGGTATCTTTCGACACATTTGTTTGGTATCTTTCGACACATTTGTTTGGTATCTTTCGACACATTTGTTTGGTGTCTTTCGACACTTTTGTTTGGTATCTTTGGACATGTTTGTTTGGTATCTTTCGACACATTTGTTTGGTGTCTTTCGACACATTTGTTTGGTATCTTTCGACACATTTGTTTGGTATCTTTGGACACATTTGTTTGGTATCTTTCGACACATTTGTTTGGTATCTTTCGACACATTTTTTTATATCTTTCGACACATTTGTTTTGTATCTTTCGACACAAAATTAGTAAATCGTTTGGAGTATGTGCTTACTGCAAACTGCATTATACACCTGTTCTTCTAGGAACTACCCGTCATGTTGGGGTATGAAGTGAGGAAATAGAGAAGATGAATTAGGGGCCGTAACAAACGTTTAAATATTGATAGCCAGGTGACAATAAGGCCTGGCCTTCACGTGTAACCTGGAATACGAACGGTCAGCGAAAACTTAATACAACGAACCATTATATGTCCCAATTACACTATGATTTGCATTTAAAATTGTGTCTAGATACGTTTTGCTGTAGTGTTTTTGACGCTAGTTATCGACATCAGTCACGGCAACTGTGATGTGAAAATTATACAAAGGAAAACGTGTCTTTCAATGATAATGATAATAATAAATGCGTTAGAGCTAAATAAGAAATTAAATTACATCGTGTTATCATCAAGTCACTGTATGAATAAGTTCAATGTTGTGTCTCAGAGGTAAGTGTTCTACCTAACACTAATGCTTGATTGATACAAAGGGAAATATCTACAATATTGTTCTTATCTTTTATTAATAGTATTATAAACTTCATTTATCGGAAATCGTGCTACAATTGGTGAGTTAAGTCTATGTATTTCAATGTCTGCGGATGACTTTGTCATGTTTTCCTATGGTTTACAGTCGCAGCTACATAGTCGTTATGATTGATTTACTCAATGGAAATGAACACAGGGAAAACAAATTTGGCTGTAAAAACCGAGGCCGTATACATGAGAGAGAAATAGGGACCTACACGTTTTTATCTTTCAATGAGTAAATCTTAGATTCGACAATATATTCCAACAAGAACAAAGATAGGTATCTGACTAGGGATGTAAAGACAGACATGTCTGCCCCTTCTATAATGTGTCTTACGTCTAAATCGTACAACAACATTTATTTGATACGTATATTTGCGCTGTATTTAACATGTGTAGTGTGGATATCTTCACAACGTATGAGTACTAGAACGGTACATTCATTAGTTTGTATGAAGGTTTTAAAAATTCAGTATTCCATGTGTTACGCAATGATGTACTTTGAACTAAGTCAATATCCATAAGTGTATATAAGGAAGTATGGATTAATAAAATATTGGTTAAAACTTATTTATTTAAAAATCAACAATTGTTTTTACACAAGGCGTATTCAATAGAAGTAAGTATAAAAATGATGTCTTTTTCCACTCCACGACGACGGGCAGAGTCAAGGAGACGAGAAACCTTCACGATGATGATGATGATGATGATGATGATGATGATGATGATGATGATGATGATGATGATGATGAGTATATCATCATCATCATCATCATCATCATCATCATCATCATCATCATCACCACTCCATTTCGGATAGACAAGTTGCTATACTTTAGGATGAATAAAACTCAGATGCCCAAACTTTTGAAATGCTACATGACAGAGAGTAATTTAACAGAAAAAAAATGGTAACAAAATATATCAAAACCGCAAAACTCTATGATTTATTTTAGATTGATTTATGCCCTGCTTTTGATCAATTATGGTTTCATTAACTATTGAATTCCATTCGCCTGTGTGATAACCGTTATTATTTAAATTTTCCATTTCTTGATAGCAACACACCTCTATCCCGAACCCATGGTGTTTACCTGTCGCAATTGATTCGATATTTAAGGACCTATTCCAAATAAAACGATTTTCAAAAAAGATTTCTTTCAATGACAAACACATAAGACAGGGCCTCAAAAGATGCAGGTCATAAAAACACGCATAAACGAGTCTCTAGTACAATAATATCACATGAGTAACACATACCAGTTTATCATAGAACCGTGACATATACCAGTTTATCATAGAACCGTGACACATACCAGTTTATCACAAAACCGTGACACATACCAGTTTATCATAGAACCGTGACACATACCAGTTTATCATAGAACCGTGATACATACCAGTTTATCATAGAACCGTGACACATACCACTTTATCATAGAACCGTGACACATACCACTTTATCATAGAACCGTGACACATACCACTTTATCATAGAACCGTGACACATACCACTTTATCATAGAACCGTGACACATACCAGTTTATCATAGAACCGTAACACATACCAGTTTATCATAGAACCGTAACACATAGCATTTTATGATTGAAGAAATTGTTTAGTCACTATTTGTTTATCATAAAAAAACAAAGCTTCATCCATTTTAACATAGAACATCAAAAACTGAAATACCGCTATGTCACTGGTATATGGAAAATAATAAGAGATGTTCCGGAAGAGCGATTGTCTTTTAACAGCCTGGTAAATCTTAGTCCAAGTCATGTTCCTAAACAAGGTAAACAACAGAACCAAATACGTCCCAACTTCATATCCCAAAAGGAAATGAATGTATTCCAATGGGATCATAATAAAGACCAAAATTCTTCTCCATAATATTCTTACTTTCTGGAAGTCATTTATCTTCTCTGTATATATCAATAGAATCGTGTTATCTATGATCAGATGACATATTTTGTCGCTAAGATTATGAAAGAAATCCGCGATGACGTCATCATTGTAGCTCCCATATTCTTTCAGTGAAATAGACATGTTGAAGATTTCAACAACCATTCATCCACACGTAGACATAGAATCACATCTACATTAATTCACTTGTAAATTGATAATAATTTACCTATCATTCACTGCGCTTAATGACCATATCTCCGTCCATGCAAAGTGTTTCATTATCTCGCCCAAGGATACACAAATCTCCATTATGGTAAAAGGTTTCCGTAAATGGTCTCATGATAGCCTTTCTGTCTTAAAGCAAATCGTGAATGCTTATATTAGTCACGTGACTCACTTTACCATAAGCATTTATTTTACTACAGATATACAGGGACCAGAGCAAGTGATGTTTGGAGTTTTATGTTCATTGGTCATTTCGTAAAACTATTTCCAGAAACATTATTTTCCATTAACAATGAAAACAAAGTTCTTCACATTCACGTTCCGATTCTTAATTTCGACGTTCGACCTGATCATTGATTGGTTGTTGTTGTACGAGGTGATAGGAATAGAACAAGGCCTCGTGTTTGGACCATTTCCGGAATCTGCTTCATGCCTTCTCATTTTGTTTTCTTGTATTGGGACCGTAACTTACATAGCTGAGCTTGTACTGAATATCGTCGATTTCGTGGTGGAGAAAGATGATTTTCTGCCTGCTGGTCTCCTTGACAACGTCAACCTGGTGTCCCTGTGGGTTGAGGACGTACCTCTGATAATGATGAGTGTGTACATGGCAGGATGTCGTGACGCCGCGGTGACTATATTACTATTGGTCAAGGCTTTTTCTACTCTGCTTGAGGTTTTCGTGAATGTTGGTATTATAATCGCTAAATACAACATAGACAGAACGCGGACTGTAGTCGCTAAATTTGACGAAAAGAAACCCTCTAGATGGCTGAAGATTCCACTTTTTATCAGCCTTGTCCTCATGGTGATTGGCTCAACACTGGTGTTCTCGCTTGGGAGTTATTTCACAGACTCAAAGAACGTTATTCAATTACCAAGCTCCCTTGATTTTAGTTACGAAACGTACAAAGGCATGAACTACTTACAGGGATCTGGTGTTTACATGAACTTTGACCTTGACCAACCTGGTGTGGTAACTATGACTTCAGAACAATGGATGTCACTGCTGACATTGGAAAACATCCGATCTGCTGAATCACAGCCCGTTTTGGTCCGTGTAACCTATGACTCGAACCCGAACACTTGGCTTTGGATTCAGTCAACGTCCTCTGATGATTTAACGTCACCCGAATTATCGATCTGCTATTCCACACAATCCTCACCAATGTCAGTGTTAACCACGTGTTCTGATGACCTTCAGATGACCTCTAATGCGACATCTATTGTGTTTAAATTTGTTTACAAAAGTCCTAGTAACTCGAAACCCCTCGGGGACCTCTACTACAACTATGGGGTGTCGTCTCCCACAAACATCGAAAGTTGTAACGATATCGAGAGCGCGCCCTCGTTTTCACTCCGCTACTTTAAAGTCACTTCCAATTTAAATGACATTAGCCCTCTGTTGTTTATATCGGATGTCAGTGGGGAGTATTACAAAACTGGGGTAAGTCTGAATTCTGTACCGGAGTCCGGGAAGACTGGTCTGTTTGAATGTGGTTGTACCGGGAAGTCTGTGCCAGAACAGGACAAATCCATCAGTATACCTTGTCTTCAGTGGAATACGGTATTTCCAATATCCAGTACAATTCCCGTAACTTCACCCACACCTGTCTCTACGATTACACGGTCCAAACCGTCATCTACAACTTCACCTACAACTACACCGACTCCCCCGACCACACAAACAACTTCGTTATCAACTTCAACTACTCCTACAACACCTGTAACTACACAAACTCACACAACCACAGTTACTAGTTCTACAACTTCTACAACTCCTACAACTATTCCACCTAGCTAGATACATGTTTGACAGCTATTTACTGGCCACTCTGTGTGACTGTAACTGCTCACCAAGTCGATACGTTCCGTTACATAACGCTATAGGTTTGACAAATTTTGTAGTATTTGTGTATTATTTGCTTTATTTAATATGCATTTCAAGTCTATTACATTATGAATAATTTTCATGTGGAAGAGTAATGTTTACACAAATGATATGTATGTTTCGTATATTACAACCATGTCGACACTCACTGAGAAGTCGTGTTATTGGGAACAAGCATTAGTATATAGAGTCAACTGGATCGTGTAAAAACCACAGGTTCTCGAAACAGGGAAGCTATGTTTAGAAACTGGCAATGTTACCTGTGTTGACAAGCTCTCCTACTCTCATAGATAAATAGATTTACACCTTGTCCAAATATATGGCAGTAAAGCGTGTTTCGAGGAATTACTTTCAAGTTAAAGAAGAAATGAATGTAGAACTAAATCATAAAAATAACCGAATTTCTGGTTCTGACAATTTCCGTGTCGAGTTGGATAGTAAGACCTTCCAGTAGATTATCGACATTCGTATGAGAATTAACTGTGCTCTTCTGTTGGCTTTTTTTAGAAGAAGCTCGTCAAAATAGGCCGCACAAAGACGTTACAAAGTCCTTCAATTTCACTTGATGATGTCTTGTCTTTAAATAACATGAGATTTATTAACCGTGAACATCTGGAGCTTATGACTATGTAATTAGTATATTGAAAATCTTCCATGTTTCAACACTGGAGAATATTTTAAACTGAATCTCTTTCAGATTGTTTATCAAGTTCAACACGACACGCCATTTGACATCTTTTCTAACAATACTGTAACAATGTCCACATTACCTTAATTGTAAATACTCGAGTACCTTGACCTGATCTTAACCCTGAGAGCAGGAATAATTACAGAGCATCGTTTGCCAAGAACCGTATTGTTAGCGTTGGAATTGAAGGTTCACCTGATTTAGAAGGGAGATCACTCTAATCAGCTTGACAGGCAGACAGGAATATAATTTGAATTTATATCCGGAATAAAGTCAGCTGCAAGTCATTTTCGATTTGTCTCCATTATCTAATTTTAAAGTCGTCTATAAAAAGGGCTGTTCATTTTACTGTAGGATTGTTCTTTATCGAATCCTAGTTTGAAGTGGATTGTAAGACTCCTGGCTATCCCTACAGTGGTTAAATGGGAGGAGGGGGCAAACCCGTCAATGACTATCATTTCAGTTTCTTTGAGATGTTTATTGCTAACCCTGTTAAATTTTCGGAAGGAACATATTTTCTAAAGGTATTGTAACAAAAGAATGCATGAGTTTCGCCGCTTCCGTCGTGTATTCTGAAATCTTACCGACTCTATGTTTGTATATCAATAATTACTACACCAGTTGATAAGACTGGAGTCAACCTTATACCGCTTGTTATGTTCACTTACATCTCTAGATTTTATATAAACGTGATTTAATGAGAGGAAATGTGTCATACATCGAGATATAACGTATATCAAATAAAAAGAAAAGCGTCACATTGGTCCGTTTTTGTTTGTGTTGTTTACGACGCGGTACCACGGAATACTTAAGGTCTAACGATGTGTTGTGTTATAGGTAGTTTTTCGTGTTACATTAAAGATTGTATATTATCTTATGTACTTTTATTGAAGTTTAGCTATTTCATGCCCCAACACACACCAAGCAAATTCATGTTAATACAATTCGTTACGGATACAAATGAAGAAGACCAGTCCTCAAATCTTATGAACGTCCAGGTTTATTGCAACCCCAACAGAGAGAATAACACATGGATTTGTGAAAAAGGTTGAAAAGAAGGAACACGTGTTTTCTCTTCCAGGATTGCTTAACCGTCATCATTTTACAGGTATGTTATACATGTTGGCACACGCAAGTGAATAGCGCCTTGTAATTAAGATGTACTACAATATAGCAAATAAGAAATCTACCCGTAATATACAGCTTTATCGTAAGGCTCGTCAGTCTAAATTGTTCCTACCCAGGAGGCGTCAAGCAGCGTGGTTTATTACTTTCCAGCTATTACCCGGCGATGTAGTTGATAAATCAGGCAGTTTGTATATAATAAGTACTAAGGTTACTGATTAGTTATAGTATAATTAACACACTAAAGGTTACTTTATGATTCTATGTAGTCCTTTATCCAAATTTTATGGGAAGCCGGATGACTATATTGTTTGACTCTGTTTTGGGGGTTTTTTAATATGTTGTCACTACCAGAACATATACACACAATCTGAAGCTGTTTTAGAGGGATTTCAATTCACTGTTACAACCAGAGTATATTGTCTCAATAGAAAACACAATAATCTAATACGGACTAAATCGTTGTTATAACCAGGACACATGCACAAGATAATAATACACGACAAATGTAATAAACAGTACAGATTTTTATTGATCATCAGATAAATTTCCCATAAATCCGCACTTCAAACATAATTTTTATACTCAAATAAGTATTTATAAATTTTACTTTATTGTGTATCTCAGAAGAATACATTCATATCTTAATCTAAGCAGATGTACTTATAGAAATGTACGCGAGAAAGCTTCCTCGATGCTTCCCAAATAATTTACTATTTAGGTGTATATATACGTGTATAACAGTATGGTGATTTGTGAAACAACACAGTTCTATAAATAATGCCATGAATATTAAAACGCAAGTCAGTAATGGTAAGGATGTTTACAACATAGTTATCATAGGTTAGAAATGTAATGGTAAGGATGTTTACAACATAGTTATAGGTTAGAAATGTAATGGTAAGGATGTTTACATCATAGCTATCATAGGTTAGAAATGTAATGGTAAGGATGTTTACATCATAGCTATCATAGGTTAGAAATGTAATGGTAAGGATGTTTACATCATAGTTATATGTTATAAATGTAATGCTAAGGATGTTTACAACATAGTTATAGGTTAGAAATGTAATGGTAAGGATGTTTACATCATAGCTATCATAGGTTAGAAATGTAATGGTAAGGATGTTTACATCATAACTATCATAGGTTAGAAATGTAATGGTAAGGATGTTTACATCATAGTTATCATAGGTTAGAAATGTAATGGTAAGGATGTTTACATCATAGTTATCATAGGTTATAAATGTAATGCTAAGGATGTTTACAACATAGATATAGGTTAGAAATGTAATGGTAAGGATGTTTACATCATAGCTATCATAGGTTAGAAATGTAATGTTAAGGATGTTTACAACATAGTTGTCATATGTTAGAAACACAAGAGATATGTAGTCAATATTTAAGTCATGTACAACTGCAATAAAAATAAATTAATGACGCAATTAGAGTAATAAAGTAAACATGGAAAACATGCCTAGAAAAAGGCCCGTGTAAGTTCTATACAAACAGATATTGCCACTGAAATGATAAATTAATATCAATATTTTTTATTTCTGAACAGCTGTTGACAAAATAACACTACCCGATTCGAAATAAATTCAACTATCATACAGAAAGAAAATATCGAACTTATAATAATAAACTGACGGAATCCGAATGTCTACTTTACATGTAGATCGATTCCATGATACAGGATATCTCAGCACCAACGAATACCTATCACAACTACTAATGCCAGTCGAGATCTGTTGGCTTTTACGTTGAGATAGAAACCCCCAAAATAGAACTACACATTATGCAAATACAGAAATGGTTGTATATATTTGAGCAAGACCATTCTCAATCTATTGTCTTAACCATTTTAAATCTGCAAATTCAACAAGTTCTCCCAGCGTTCATTGCAGTACCACCTGTCACGACAAAACACTCTGTAACGGACAACCGACAAATAACCTTCAAATATCACCACATAGATAAATTACACGTAAACTCGTTATATCTATCATCATGTACGTCTCAAAGTTCCATGTCAACATGCTCTAAGATGTATACACATGCGCATTTAACATCACACTCGTAGGTGTTCATCGATTACCTGAACACATACACACACCTTATATTCAGATGCACACTTCCATGTCTCTGTAGATGTTTTGCTGTTCATACGCCTGTGTGTCCAGGAACAGCACCTCAGCAAAAACTAGCAGATTTAAAGAGAAAACTCGAAGCTCTTCCACAGTAAAATATTCTAGGAAGAACCTCAGTTATGAAAGGAGCAGTACATTTTAAACGCAATATTTGAATATCATGTACAGAATATTATCCCCGCTGCTGATCATTTGTATACAACACAGATAGACGCATAATGGACAAATGAAATATTCTAACTTTTTCATTGGTTCAAAAACTACTGGGTAAGATCACAAGATAAGATCGTAGATTTTAACCAATACCAAAATTGCATGGCCACCTGAAACTGGGAGTCATGTAGGCAATATATACTTTAATACATGTAATTACCAGTCAAAAATAGGGGAAGGATGATGTTATAAAAATATCTATTTTTGCGAAATATTTCACAACAGGGATTCTAGCCTAAGCTTAGGAATAATAATTATGATAAAGGAGATTGACTGTATAAGAAATAGTAAGGAATATGTATCTATTTAACGAAGTCATATTCTATTTATATATCTGCATATATAGATGTATATTAAGAAGGTCTTTATGATACATAAACTCATTTTACTTATATAATTAAATCTAACAGTAATAAGAAAATATAATAAAGAAATACTAACAAAACACACAAGAATAAAAGCACGAGGTATCAATATATGTATACGTAATTTGTTTAACATATAATCAAATCTTTCCTGATTTCTGGGTCTTTTGTTAATAATTATAGATTTTGTTCTCAGTGGCCTTTTTTTCACTTTATTAAAGTAAGCACGGATTATCTAGACGACCGATATAACAAGATTTATTCCCTTATGAAGCTGTTTCAATATCAAGCACGAAACATGCTAATGCATAAAGATCAAATGTTTTACGTTTACACCAAATTAGCAAAAATAGCTTTTATGAATCAACAGTGATACTTGGTATATGACATTAAAGTTTGGTTTAAGGTTTGTAAAGATACTATTTGGTTGAAAACATATTTCCAATGACAAGAATTTTATAGCTGGTGTGAATTCTACAAAGTGTGAAATCTGCAGCATTACCTAAAGCACAATACAAATAGCATGGACTGAAAGGACACGGAACTTTCAGTTTCAAGTACAGTAATTTTTTATTCTGATTGAATTCTACATTCAGAATACGGCCCTCACAGAAGTTATACAAAAACTTAACTGTTCAATAAGTTACCAACAAACATTATTATGCAATAATTCACTCCTCCTTCTGTCCAATCACGTGACCGTTACTTTGGCAATTCGTTGGAACGTCCTTCCGGTAACCAACACTTCGAGCCTGGGGACCTGAATTTTTGTCGAAAATAAAATCCCAAACGACCTTGACCCATGAGGTATGATACGGGTAGTCATAGTATTCTGGCGCGATCTTTTTCAGTTCCGGTAGTTTGTTGTAGGGAATGTATGGGAAGTCGTGGTGTTCTATGTGGTAGCCCACATTGAATAGGACAAAGTTCAGAGGACCATAATATGACGTGGTTCCCTGAGTACCGTTATTGTTGAATAGATAATGTTCGGAGATAAAATGTCCCGCGAGGGGATGGAATCCGAGGGCCATCAATGTTCCCAACAGAAGATACACAATAGATTTAACCCCAAAGGTGGTTACTATGATCGCGTTGAAGGACATCTGGACGATGGTATTTATAATCTCCCAGCCTGTGATTGGCTTAGGGCTCTTGTAGAATGGCCGAATAGCGTGGATGATTGGATGAACGGTAAGCCAAAATATTTTAGTGATTGGATGGCGGAACAGATAGCTCTCCAGCCGCGTTGGTATATCAACGTCCTTATTTTCCTCGCCAAGGTAACGATGATGATCTGCATGATACTTCCGGTAACTGATTGCCATGGGTGCCACGATTGGCAGGTTACACCATAAACTTAACATTCTGTTTAATTTAGGATGACTGTGTCCAAAAGCTAAATTGTGACCTATTTCGTGTATAGCACTACCAAGCGAGTGATTGAGGACTCCGCCAAAACAGTAAGCTAGAATGGCTATAGTCGTCCATGAGGCGTCCCTTACCATCCAGGCTGCTACAAGTTGAACCAACACTTCCGCCGTGACAATGTAAGCGATTTTAGGGTCGTATCCCATCAGCTTCTTTATTTGTGGATATTTTTTAAGGATCTCCTGTCGCCTTGGGGAGTGGGGCTCTTCTTTGTATACCCATTCTTCTTCATCAGTCGTCATACGAAGACCAAGACTGCCAAACTTCGTCAGCCACTGCACAGCCATATTGTATCTATAAAATACAGCACAAGTTTATAGCCATATCATTATAACATCTAGTGAACTAAGCAAGGGGCTCATTAATGATCATCTAACTATAAAGATATCCAGTTTGTGTTGTATTATGTCTCCATGTCAAAAACAGGTTGTGTTGTATTATGTCTCCATGTCAAAAACAGGTTGTGTTGTATTATGTCTCCATGTCAAAAACAGGTTGTGTTGTATTATGTCTCCATGTCAAAAACAGGTTGTGTTGTATTATGTCTCCATGTCAAAAACAGGTTGTGTTGTATTATGTCTCCGTGTTATAAACAGGTTGTGTTGTATTATGTCTCCATGTCAAAAACAGGTTGTGTTGTATTATGTCTCCATGTCAAAAACAGGTTGTGTTGTATTATGTCTCCATGTCAAAAACAGGTTGTGTTGTATTATGTCTCCATGTCAAAAACAGGTTGTGTTGTATTATGTCTCCATGTCAAAAACAGGTTGTGTTGTATTATGTCTCCATGTCAAAAACAGGTTGTGTTGTATTATGTCTCCATGTCAAAAACAGGTTGTGTTGTATTATGTCTCCGTGTTATAAACAGGTTGTGTTGTATTATGTCTCCATGTCAAAAACAGGTTGTGTTGTATTATGTCTCCATGTCAAAAACAGGTTGTGTTGTATTATGTCTCCATGTCAAAAACAGGTTGTGTTGTATTATGTCTCCATGTCAAAAACAGGTTGTGTTGTATTATGTCTCCATGTCAAAAACAGGTTGTGTTGTATTATGTCTCCATGTCAAAAACAGGTTGTGTTGTATTATGTCTCCATGTCAAAAACAGGTTGTGTTGTATTATGTCTCCATGTCAAAAACAGGTTGTGTTGTATTATGTCTCCATGTCAAAAACAGGTTGTGTTGTATTATGTCTCCATGTCTCCGTGTTATATAAACAGGTTGTGTTGTATAACTTTTCCGTGTTATAAACAGGTTGTGTTGTATAACGTCTCCGTGTTATAAACAGGTTGTGTTGTATAACGTCTCCGTGTTATAAACTTGTGTTGTATTATGTCTCCATGTCTCCGTGTTATATAAACAGGTTGTGTTGTATAACGTCTCCGTGTTATAAACAGGTTGTGTTGTATTATGTCTCCATGTCATAAACAGGTTGTGTTGTATAACGTCTCCGTGTTATATAAACAGGTTGTGTTGTATAACGTCTCCGTATTATAAACTTGTGTTGTATAATGTCTCCGTGTTATAAACAGGTTGTGTTGTATAACGTCTCCGTGTTATAAACAGGTTGTGTTGTATAACGTCTCCGTGTTATAAACTTGTGTTGTATAATGTCTCCGTGTTATTAACAGGTTGTGTTGTATAACGTCTCCGTGTTATAAACAGGTTGTGTTGTATAACGTCTCCGTGTTATAAACAGGTTGTGTTGTATAACGTCTCCGTGTTATAAACAGGTTGTGTTGTATAACGTCTCCGTGTTATAAACTTGTGTTGTATAATGTCTCCGTGTTATAAACAGGTTGTGTTGTATAACGTCTCCGTGTTATAAACAGGTTGTGTTGTATAACGTCTCCGTGTTATAAACTTGTGTTGTATAATGTCTCCGTGTTATTAACAGGTTGTTATGTATAACGTCTCCGTGTTATAAACTTATGTTGTATAATGTCTCCGTGTTATAAACAGGTTGTGTTATATAACGTCTCCGTGTTATAAACAGGTTGTGTTGTATAACGTCTCCGTGTTATAAACAGGTTGTGTTGTATAACGTCTCCGTGTTATAAACTTGTGTTGTATAATGTCTCCGTGTTATAAACAGGTTGTGTTGTATAACGTCTCCGTGTTATAAACAGGTTGTGTTGTATAACGTCTCCGTGTTATAAACAGGTTGTGTTGTATAACGTATCCGTGTTATAAACAGGTTGTGTTGTATAACGTCTCCGTGTTATAAACAGGTTGTGTTGTATAACGTCTCCGTGTTATAAACAGGTTGTGTTGTATAACGTATCCGTGTTATAAACAGGTTGTGTTGTATAACGTCTCCGTGTTATAAACAGGTTGTGTTGTATAACGTCTCCGTGTTATAAACAGGTTGTGTTGTATAACGTATCCGTGTTATAAACAGGTTGTGTTGTATAACGTCTCCGTGTTATAAACAGGTTGTGTTGTATAACGTCTCCGTGTTATAAACAGGTTGTGTTGTATAATGTCTCCGTGTTATAAACAGGTTGTGTTGTATAACGTCTCCGTGTTATAAACTTGTGTTGTATAATGTCTCCGTGTTATAAACAGGTTGTGTTGTATAACGTATCCGTGTTATAAACAGGTTGTGTTGTATAATGTCTCCGTGTTATAAACAGGTTGTGTTGTATAACGTCTCCGTGTTATAAACAGGTTGTGTTGTATAACGTCTCCGTGTTATAAACAGGTTGTGTTGTATAACGTCTCCGTGTTATAAACAGGTTGTGTTGTATAACGTCTCCGTGTTATAAACAGGTTGTGTTGTATAACGTCTCCGTGTTATAAACAGGTTGTGTTGTATAACGTCTCCGTGTTATAAACAGGTTGTGTTGTATAACGTCTCCGTGTTATAAACAGGTTGTGTTGTATAACGTCTCCGTGTTATAAACAGGTTGTGTTGTATAACGTCTCCGTGTTATAAACAGGTTGTGTTGTATAACGTCTCCGTGTTATAAACAGGTTGTGTTGTATAACGTCTCCGTGTTATAAACAGGTTGTGTTGTATAACGTATCCGTGTTATAAACAGGTTGTGTTGTATAACGTCTCCGTGTTATAAACAGGTTGTGTTGTATAACGTCTCCGTGTTATAAACAGGTTGTGTTGTATAACGTCTCCGTGTTATAAACAGGTTGTGTTGTATAACGTCTCCGTGTTATAAACAGGTTGTGTTGTATAACGTCTCCGTGTTATAAACAGGTTGTGTTATATAACGTCTCCGTGTTATAAACAGGTTGTGTTGTATAACGTATCCGTGTTATAAACAGGTTGTGTTGTATAACGTATCCGTGTTATAAACAGGTTGTGTTGTATAACGTATCCGTGTTATAAACAGGTTGTGTTGTATAACGTATCCGTGTTATAAACAGGTTGTGTTGTATAACGTATCCGTGTTATAAACAGGTTGTGTTGTATAACGTCTCCGTGTTATAAACAGGTTGTGTTGTATAACGTCTCCGTGTTATAAACAGGTTGTGTTGTATAACGTCTCCGTGTTATAAACAGGTTGTGTTGTATAACGTCTCCGTGTTATAAACAGGTTGTGTTGTATAACGTATCCGTGTTATAAACAGGTTGTGTTGTATAACGTCTCCGTGTTATAAACAGGTTGTGTTGTATAACGTCTCCGTGTTATAAACAGGTTGTGTTGTATAACGTCTCCGTGTTATAAACAGGTTGTGTTGTATAACGTATCCGTGTTATAAACAGGTTGTGTTGTATAACGTCTCCGTGTTATAAACAGGTTGTGTTGTATAACGTCTCCGTGTTATAAACAGGTTGTGTTGTATAACGTCTCCGTGTTATAAACAGGTTGTGTTGTATAACGTCTCCGTGTTATAAACAGGTTGTGTTGTATAACGTCTCCGTGTTATAAACAGGTTGTGTTGTATAACGTCTCCGTGTTATAAACTTGTGTTGTATAATGTCTCCGTGTTATAAACAGGTTGTGTTGTATAACGTATCCGTGTTATAAACAGGTTGTGTTATATAACGTCTCCGTGTTATAAACAGGTTGTGTTGTATAACGTCTCCGTGTTATAAACAGGTTGTGTTGTATAACGTCTCCGTGTTATAAACAGGTTGTGTTGTATAACGTCTCCGTGTTATAAACAGGTTGTGTTGTATAACGTCTCCGTGTTATAAACAGGTTGTGTTGTATAACGTCTCCGTGTTATAAACTTGTGTTGTATAATGTCTCCGTGTTATAAACAGGTTGTGTTGTATAACGTCTCCGTGTTATAAACAGGTTGTGTTGTATAACGTCTCCGTGTTATAAACAGGTTGTGTTGTATAACGTCTCCGTGTTATAAACTTGTGTTGTATAATGTCTCCGTGTTATAAACAGGTTGTGTTGTATAATGTCTCCGTGTTATAAACAGGTTGTGTTGTATAACGTCTCCGTGTTATAAACTTGTGTTGTATAATGTCTCCGTGTTATAAACAGGTTGTGTTGTATAACGTCTCCGTGTTATAAACAGGTTGTGTTGTATAACGTCTATCTTATGAACATAATGCGAAAAAGAGATTATGATAAACTCACGCATCGACTGAAAATGTTTCAATATAAGGTAATCATGTGAGTTTGTCTGCAGACTTTAGCTCGCTTTCGTTAGTATTAAGACTGTTGGTTTAGACTTGGTCAATACTTAAAATGTTAAATGTATTGACACTCCTTTAAACATGAATTTTGTTCCAAGGTCTGTGGAGCGTTTAAATGCACTACATGACTGAATACTGCCTAATAAGAATACTGGTACATGTATATACCAATAGGTGGGTCGCGGTCAATGGAGATTGTTTTTCACGGTTGATTGCCTTTATACAAATCACTTGTACCGTGGATTTGGTAGCAGAATAAGAAATACGATCCATTAATACGGGATGTGTGCGATACATGGTCAAGTACTAGTACATATATATCTTGTAAGAAAAGACCGTCTGCATCAACTAGTGTATATTTGTATACACTTCATCGCACACTACTGGTATGGGTTTTAAAGTTTTTTTTTAAATAAGTGAACAAAATGGCATGGTTTTCATTCTAGGGTTGGGATATTTAACATATGCTACATTGGCAAATACAAATTTCGAAATCACACGGGTGAGAGTATTCTAAAAATAGATCCATTCACCAGAGCATGATTTTAATGTCGCTGTCCATTGAATTTTACTGTCCGGCGTATGGTTTATGGAATTGTGAACAAACTACCGAACATTTTCTGTTGGTCTGTACACTGTGAATATGCCATTTTGTACGTTTATTGGAAAAAAAA